TTTCTGATTTCCATCAGCCATCAATGTCTCGCAGCTCATTTTCCTAGTAGAATGTTTGATGACTGTAAGGGTGAGATGAGTTTAAAAGGAGAAGACATGCTGCCTGCCCTCCAGCGCCGTATACACCAGCCCAGCAGGGAGCACTTTTAATGCTCAGTGGTGATCTCCTCTGGGGGTTGTACAATGGTACTGAAAGCCTCGTGGTTCGTATTAAGTTGGCATTGGGGTGTCGAGGAAAATGTTATGGAGGCTGACAAATCTGAACGTAAAGGTTGCTCCCATCCCCCTCCTCTGGTAACCGGCCCCACTAATTGTATCTAGCATTATCTTCTATTACCTCTGTGTTAGATTTTTCTTCAGAGAAACAGAATAAATTGTGTGTGTGTGTGTGTGTGTGTGTGTGTGTCATAAGGAACTGGCTTATGCATTTATGAAGGTTGGTAAGTCCCAAGATCTTTAGGGTGAGTGGGCAAGCTGGCCCTGGCAATGTAACCACAAATAGCATAGGACTAGCTTTCTGGTAGTGGGAGGCAGATATTAAGTGGTTATAGTACAACATCATATTTTACTAGAAGGCTGAGAAAGTACTTTCAAAGTCCAGATGATGTGAAAAATCACTATTTTTTATCATGCAGACGCAAAGAAGATTTTGTCAAATGAGTCACTTTTTTTTCTTTTTAATCTGCTTGTAAATGAGTAACCAGGTAAATTAGCAGTTGCAAGTTAGGGGAAACATTTAGAGTAGATGGACTACAAAAGACAGAGTTATGAATGAGAAGAATATGTTTGGGGAATGTGAGAAGGTCCAAGTGTCTATAGCGTACGGCTTGTGAGTATTTGGGAATTCTCCTCATAGGCAATAGGAACCAGCAGAAGGATGACATGTCTTCCTTCCCTTTTAAAAAGTAATTCTGGGAATGGTATGGAAGATGGCTTTAAACAGGAAGAGAAAGTAGGAGAGGGAGTAGTTAAGAAAGTCATTGTCACAATTTAGTTGAGATATATTGAGGGCTTGAATTAGGTAGTGAGAAGAGAGAATGAAACCTGCATTTTTTGAGGAGGTATTTTTAAGGTTGAATCAACAGAAATTGGTCACAGTGTCAGGGAAGGAGAAATTGGAGCAGATGAGAGGTTAAGAGAAAATGAATATGTAGAGGGTGTCAAAGAGAGGGAAAAATTCATTGTGGCTCTTGAGTTTCTTGGCTGGAAGTTGGAGTGAATGGTGATGGATTGAAATCAGAATTTGATTAGAATCAGATATGTTGCATCAGGGTTTCATACATAGCTGCTCTGTTGCTTATTGAAAGTCAGCCTTCAACAGTGTTTTTTTTTTAAGAATCAGCTGGTTAGGAAAGATGTGGAGTTGCGTTTTGTATGTGCAGCATTTGAGATGCCTGAGAAATGCTTGGGGATGCAGATCTGCAGGGTGGGGGGGATGCCCAGGCTAGATGGAGGCATGTGGTCCTTCGTCCCCTGTGGAGCCAGGTCACAAGAGGGGCAGTCAGAGAGCCTGTTCAGTTACAAGGAGCCCCAGGAGCATCAACATGCCTTACTCTATAAATATTTGATTGCGTGATTAATTATAGTAATTACGGACCCTCTCTGAAGCAAAAGAAATGGAAACATTTTATTTGAGAAATCTATGAAATTCCATCCGAGTTCTCATAAGTAAACTGTAATATATCAAAGCAGGTTACTAAAATGAAATCCCTTATGTATAACTGCATGGCCAAGCAAGTGACATTAGAGGGGTGACCTGTATTGGATCCTCAGTTCTCATCTTCAGGCAGCCCAGCCCCATAATTGGTCTTGCTGTGTCCACTCTTGCTTCATTGCAGGGAATTCTCTGCATAGTAGCCACAGAGATTTTTTTTCCTTTCTTTTGTCAACTAAATGGGATGCCAATCCCGGTATAAGCGTTCACCTCTTTCCTTGGCCCCTGCCGGCCTCTCCTCCCTCATCTCCCACGTCTCCCCGCTTCGCTCACTGGGCTCCAGCTAAAGGATTCTTCTTTCTGTTCCTGTTTTGGGGCCTATGTATATGGTAGATGCTCAATAAACATGAAATGAATGAGTGACTCCCCCTTGTAGGTTAACTGTGAGAAGTAAATGTGAAAAAAATACGCAAAGAGTCAGTGTGCTTTGTACATCAGAGGGATGCAATAAATACCTCTTTTGATCGTTTTTGTCCTTGTGTTACTCAGTCTATGAACCTGATATTTATCCTCTTCTGCTCCAGTCTCCCTTTTCAGCTCTTCTCATCCAGCCAACTTACTGTCTGGTTGGTACATCCCCTTGTGAGTTGACATCTATCTTCTCTTTAGTTGGCACGTGATAGGACTTCATCTAATTCCCTGGGCTTTTTCATACATGTCCTTTCCTGGGTAACCTCATTTCTTGTTGTGCTTAAATCATCGTTTATAGATTTCCTGGTCGCAAGGACACCGAGCATGTAACAACCTTCCTGCAATGAAATTCCCCAAAGAATGGGAACCCTCTAGAGATTCAGTCCCAAGACCACCACAACACTCTTCACCACTGATAAAATGTTATCCTGATCACATCATTATTATGTGCATTTGGAATCAACAATTTGTAAGTTAGAGCCAAGACTTACTGAACATCGACTCTGGGCCAGGCGAAGTCCTAAGCACCTTACATAAATTACCTCACTTTACGAATTTGATGTTATTAGTATTCCTGTTTTGTACTTACTGACTTGCCCAAGGTCACCCTGCTAGTGATTTGCAAGTTAGGATTTAAGCCCAGGTGGTCTAATTTCAGATTCCTGTCCCTCAACTGTGCTTTTATATTCTACAGTCTCTCAGTAACAGTTCCCGGGTCATAGAGTTAATTTTTATTCTTTAGTGTTTGATTTAAAATTTTTTAAAATAATATGCAGTCCCAGTTTAAAAAAAATGAAAATTTCCAATAGTTCCTTTCTACCATTCTACCCTACTACTTCAAGTCTCATTTAACTTATGGCAACTACTGTTAACAACATTTTCTGAATTTTTTCCTTATGGAAGATTTTTCTTTTTAACCTCTTGTGTGATCTTCCTCTCAGCTTTTGTCTTTGGAAAGGTCAACTTATTCTTAATTAGTTGTTGGAAGTGTTAAATACAAATGGTGTACACACACACACACACACACACACACACACAATTCACGTTGACCCTAAGAGAAAGATATTCCACCCATGTCCCAGGCAGACTTCTAAAATTAATTAAATTGTTACCTGTTTGGTATCTATTTACCTGAGTTTCTGCCTGAAGGTGACCTAGTTTTATTCTAAAACTCCAGGCTGATGAACTCTTCAAGTTCCCAGGACCGAAGCCAGTATTTGACAATTCCTGTATTGACTGCGTCACCTTGATGCTCAGGGAGAAATGAACAATGGCCCGTCCTGGCTAAGAAAATGGGTTTTGGTGCTCTTATCAATGCCTGACTGTAGGGACTCAAGAATCAAACGGTCTTCTGAACAATGTGAAGAGAGTTTTGTTTCTAGATCATTATTTTTTCTCACCTTCTCCCTTCCTGAAGAAGAACTCTCTAATTTTTAATCAGCAACACAAAAACGCCTCTATGGAAATGGCCGTGCCTTTCAGCGTGCAGCAGAACGTTTTCCTGAAAAGTGAGGCCACCAGAAGCACAGAGCAGAGAAATCCCAGATGGCACTAATATTTGATTTCATTTTTAGCACGCTCATATTCAGCAGATGGATTGGAAGGCTGACCTCGCTGACACTTCTGCATCACTGCCTGCTACTCCGATCACCTTTGTGAATGTTTTTTCATAAGGCTCCTCCTGGTACCTGAGAGATCGATGCCTGCTCGCCCGCCTGTGTTACGCTTCATTACACCGAGGCTTCGTGTGGTTGAGAGTCGCTGTGCTCCTAAAAGGGGACTCCTAGCTCATCAGTATCCCGGACTTTGCCAACATTCCCTCAAATCGCTTGTAACATCTCAGAGAGCATCGTGTTAGCGTTCTAGGTGCACCTCTGATTTGTATCCACTTTAACCTTCTTTCCTAATTTTGCTGCCTTCTTCTGTGACATAGACAGATTAAGAATAATATTTTTAAAAATCCTCTGGACATGGCTAACCTTAACTGTTTCCAACATACCTATTAGACCCTACATCTAATTATATTAAGGTGAACATTGTTGAATTCCTCCTTTCACTATAGCTTTGGTGACTAAGAGCGCAGATGTGGGTTGGACTTCCAGCTCTGCTATTTCCTTTAGTTTAGAGTAAGTCTCAGTTTGCCTCTTTGTAAACTAGTGATGTTATTGGCGCCTAGCAGTTAGGACTGGTGTGAAGGATAAGTGAGGGGTAGTGAACACATCATGTTTTTATCACAGTATCAGCACAGCGTAAATGCGCAGTGAATGTCAGTTTGCAATATGTTTAATTTTTTTGCATGTTGTATGATATAAATAAAATATAAATGATAAAATAATTCAGTTTTTATTTGGATTGCAAGGAAAGTGAATTGTTGGTTAGGGAGGAAGTTTTTAATGATCGGATGATGCTTTGTTTCAAAACTTTTGATAAGATTTTATTCACTTTTAGAGATCATTACCTAATCCACAGAGACGGGCCATGAGAAATGCAGCACCCTCTTCCCCTCCTTCCCACCTTCTCCAGCCGGTTTCTGTTTCAGGTGTTGTGAGGAGAAAAGAAACTTGCACAGCGTGAATATCCAGCAGGTTTTGTGCTTTTCCTGACAGGTTAACCTACATGGCCGTTCTGTAAAGTTTCCCAGGAACGCTCAGCTCTGAGGAGGATTGGATTGTTTAAATCTTTACACGTCGCCTGTTCTCACACAAGCAGATTTGATGCAAAACGTACTTTGGCTTAGAAAACACTGCACGTTTAATAGCCCCTTTGCCTGAATCAGCTCTCTGCCTGCTATGTGGATGAATTGAGGTTTTAGATGACTGGACTGCCGTTGCGTTGGGAACCTTCCTTGAGGACGTTCCTTTTTCCCTTTGTGTAGGTCTAACATAAGGCCAGACCATGCCGACTCCAACTTCCATGAGTTCAAGATGCACACCTTCAACCGGGTGACATCCTGCAAGGTCTGCCAGATGCTCCTGAGGTACGTTTGCCTGGTCTTGCTCTTCAATTTTAAGGAACCAGTGTACTTGCTAAATGTTTCAGACGTTTCTGAGGTCCTGGCCAGAAGGTTCTCCCGGGGGGATATCATCGCCTTACCATTTGGACCCAGCAGGTCTTTCCTTGGCCTTGGACCCAGACGGTTCTCTCCCTCGCACGAAGGGGCTCTGCGTACCTCTGTGTTCCCGAGTTTTCCTTTCCGGCACTAATGCTTTCCTGGAGGCAGAATTTAGCACCTTTTAACCTGTCACTCTTATTTTACCTTGCAGGGGAACATTTTATCAAGGCTATTTGTGCTTTAAGTGTGGCGCAAGAGCGCACAAGGAATGTTTGGGGAGAGTAGACAATTGTGGCCGAGTTAATTCTGCTGGTAAGTCATGTTTATCATTGTGATTCTGCTTTTAATGAGAACATAAAACTTGCTAAACATAATTAAGGCCTAATTTGCTCTTAATATGTGTTTATTATAACGTATCAGCCTTGGAAACCATGGTTTATGAGCACAATTAGAAAATAATGTGAAATTCTTGTGACGTTTATATGTTCCTGGGAGGCTGAGGGCTTCAAGAGGGGCCTGGAAGGTTCTATGCCACCCATTTCATTCACCCCAACCCTTAAATCTCATCAGCACTGTATAAATACAACCAGAGCACACAAACGGAGTTGCATAACCAAAACAAACAAAAATACTTCACTTCTGTCTTCCGTCCTGAAGTTTCTCCCCTGTTCTCTTAAATATTCATCTCAGAAATGCTAATGCTGCTAGGAGTACACATCGCACAGATTAATTCGTGAATTAATGAGTTGAATACATTGTCATTTTTGAGCATTTAACAAAGAGCATGTATCCTTTGGATTTTGTGTAAATATTTTCCCCTTGGTTTTTAAAAACAATACTTGGTGACCATGACCTGAGCTGGTTTCGAAAGCTGGTGGCGATTATGCATTCGGTAGCCTTTAGCCTCTCTCTGTGCCTCCCGAGCCCTCTTCATTCTATTTCTTTTCTGGCCTCTTTCTTCTTTCTCTTTCTTCTTCTTTCTCTTTGTCCTTTTCCCTCGAGTTTCTCTGTGTTTTATCAATAAGACCTTTCAAAATCAGTGAAACTTTTGAACAGAAGAAAAGGATCTTGAACAGCTTAAGTTCAAAAGGTAGCCGTGTCAACCTTTGATTTTCCCAAAGGGAAAGGTGGACAGTGAATTATTTGGAATAATACGAAGAGGAGTGAAACAGAGAATAATAGCTCATTTCAGAGCTGAGTTCAGAAAATAGGCAGTTGTACAAAAGGTGTGAATCCTATTAGAGGCCTGAGATCACAGCACAGCCCTCTCCCTCGGCCCCTTCAGTGGACGTATTTTCATGGCCCCGTGAGCCATTCTCGACGCCAGGCGTGGGCACCTGCAGGAGAAGGAGCCGGACATTAGTTGAGCACCTGCACTGTGCCTGCCCCGCCTGCCCGGAACCTTTCAGTCCTTGGAACAGCCCTTCCCCATTTCTGATGTTTCTGTTGGGGGTCATGGTGCTTATGCAACTCGCTCAAGGCCTGTCAGGCAACGGAGACAAGATTAGCACCTAACAATGTTTCCGAAGGTCAGAAATGGTTTACAAAGTTGTAAACTAGACAAGAAATATCATATTATTAGTGCTTAATTGCCTAGCTGATACAGTGTATCGCTTAAATTTCTGTTGTTCCATGTTTATGTGCCCCGTCCTCTCATCTCTTTGAGGACAATTAACGTGTTCTTTGCTTACGGTCGGTGAATGGATTTTTATGAACCCCATAGCTCTGTCTTACGAATTTCAGTCTTGTGAGGAGTATAAAGTGACCCCATGGTTGTCAGGGTTCTTGCCTCCTAAGGGAATAGTGTAGGGAGAGTAGCTGACCATCGGGCAAAGATGGTTGAAAAAAAAAGCTCTGCTGTTAGCTAGCTGCATGAGCCTCGAGAAGTTACCTAAACATCCAGAGCTGTGAAATAGAAACTAGAGGACTGTGGTGAGGTTCACCTAGAATCACCTTGATGCATAGCAGAGTGCCTGGGCACAACCAGAACTCAGTGTTTTAATCCCAGGTGTCAGGTTGAGAAGCCAGTTTTTTTTAAAGGAATGAGTTTAGTCTGCATCGTGATTGTTTTTATGGTTGAGCAAATGTGTGCAGAGAAATTAGTGAGCGCCAGTCGTTGAAGTGATACACAAGAATGACATTAAAAGGACTTCAAATTTTTAACTTTTTTGGCTAAAAACAAGTCAATAGGAAACAGTTGGGAATTCCTGGTCTAGCCAGATGCAAGAGTGGGCTATTCCCTAAGCCATCGTTTCAGCGCCCTCTCCTGGTGGGTGAGTCGCTCTGTGCAGGGAGACAGCATGAGAGGCATTAAACCTGGCAGCTCTGGAGGCTTGGTCTGGTTGGAATGCGGCTCCACAATTTATGTACTAGGTGACCTTGGTCCCCAGTTACTTAGCTTTTTTTAAGCCTTAGTTTCTTCCCTTGTAAAATAGGGGTGATAATAGCAGCTAGCCTTTAAAGTTTTTTTTTAATAAATACTTCTATAGTGCCAGGTACTGCTCTGAGTGCTTTAGCACTGCTGGCTCACTTAGTCCTGTAAAAGTTCTGTAAAGTTGATATTGTTGCTGTTCTTATCTTACAGATGAGACACATGCCCAGAAAACTAAGTAACGTGTCTACCTTGCTTAATTAGTAGAGCCGACATTCCAGACAGGCCAGCTCCTGAGCTTGTTCTTAAGCCCCGGGCCGGCGACCAGTCCTGTGAATTAGCTGTGCGCCAAACGCACAGCCACCATCCCACGTACATGATCAAGTGCTGGGTCTTCTCTGTGAAAGGGAGAGATTTTCTAATCTGCTTTTAAATTCAGTTAAGTTAGTAACTACCCAATGTCTTTGGTTTTAAATGTTCTGAAGTGCTGCAAGAAATTCAGGCACCTCTGGGAACTGCGCCTGCCCTTTCCCCGCGGAGTGTCTCGGCTCGAGGAAAGGTAGACACCTTCAGCTCTCGGGCCTCTTGTCTTTAGATGAGGAAACTGAGTCATAAAAATATGAAAATAAGGGAGCTAAGAATTACACCATGTGTCTTGCAGATTATAGATAATGTTTACTTACACTCATTCATTAAAAGGCAGCCCCATTCTCTAAACTTTGTTATTTAATTCACTATAAAGCAGGAAGACGTGTTTTGAAACCCTCGGCTAAATTTGCTTCTTGCAGCTTGGAACATGATTCTCTTGCCTTCTTGATTCTCTCTCTGCCTTGCATCCTTGTGTTGCCCTTT